CAGAGCTACAGTCATCAAGACAGCATGGTATTGGTACAAAAACAGACATATAGACCAAAGGAACACAACAGAGAGCCCAGAAATGAACCCACAAACTTTTGGTCAACTCATCTTCAACAAAGGAGGCAAGAATATACAATGGAATAAAGACAGTCTCTTCAGCTAATGGTGTTGGGAAAACTGGACAGCAGCATGTAAAGCAATGAAGCTAGAACACTCCCTTACACCATATACAAAAATCAACTCAAAATGGATCAAAGACTTAAACATAAGACAAGAGACAATAAACCTCCTAGAAGAAAACATAGACAAAACATTATCTGACATACATCTCAAAAATGTTCTCCTAAGGCAGTCTACCCAAGCAATAGAAATAAAAGCAAGAATAAACAAATGGGACCTAATGAAACTTACAAGCTTCTGCACAGCAAAGGAAACCATAAGTAAAACAAAACAACAATCTATGGAATGAGAGAAAATTTTTCCAAATGAAACCGACAAAGGCTTGATCTCCAGAATATATAAGCAGCTCATACAACTTAATAAGAAAAAAACAAACAACCCAATCCAAAAATGGGCAGAAGACCTAAACAAGCAATTCTCCAAGGAAGAAATACAAACGATCAAAAGGCACATGAAAAAATGCTCAATATCACTAATTATCAGAGAAATGCAAATCAAAACTACAATGAGATATCACCAACACCAGTCAGAATGGCCATCATTCAAAAGTCCACAAATGACAAATGCTGGAGAGGCTGTGGAGAAAAGGGAACTCTCCTACACTGCTGGTGGGAATGCAGTTTGGTGCAGCCACTGTGGAAAACACTATGGAGATTCCTCAAAAGACTAGGAATAGAGAGAAGCAAGATGGTGGAGTAGAAGGATGCTTGTAGCTCACCCTCTCCCACAAATACACCAAAACTCACATCTATAGACCCACTCAGCCAACCAGAGCACCTACCAAACTCTGACAGAACATCGCCCTCTTCAAAAGGCAAAGATGCCAAAAATCTGGTAGGAGAAAAGGAAAAAAGGATGAAGAAAAAACAAAACAGTGTGGGACCAGTCCCGCGGGGAGGGAATGGCAAAGGAGGAATAGTGCTGATTCGCTGGGTCTCCCTTCTCCAATGGAGAGGCCAACAGGACAGAGGGGGAGCCTCCAAGGCTCAGATCTGCTCCGAGCACCCCTTGACCAACAGAACTAAGTTAAATGGGCACAAAGGGTCCCCACGACACCCAGCCCGAGACGCAAGCCAGCAGCTGGGGGCCGGGACAGGCTGCCTGAGCCAGGCGGAGGACTGGGGCTGGCTGCACTGAGGTGGCCCCGGGGGACTGCAGGGGGCTGCGTGCCATGGTTGGGAGGAGATACAGAGCAGAACAACCACGGTCTCCCATAAATTGTGAAAAAAGCAAAGCAACATGGCTAGTGTGCCCTGGGGGGAGGAGCACCACAGCCTTTGTGTCCTCAGATCCGTGACGCTGTTACTGGAGCTTCATGTGAGAAGAGAGGCGGGCGCAGCCACAGCCGCCATCTCCTCCTGTGTGCAATGCCCAGGCAGGGGCGGGTCCGAGACCTGAATCCGCACTGGGGGCTCCGCAACCTCCTAGGCAGGACTGAGACTTGTTTACAGCCCGAGGCAGATAGGATCTTTCTGCTCTGGCACCTCAGAGAACTTGTGCCGCCAAGGCAAACAAGGAGCTGAGATTTGGCACAGAGCTGGGGCAGGGCTGTTCCGCGGTCTTCCCCAAGCCTGCCTACAGAGCACTGACCCAAGGCAGAGCGGGCAGCTGCACAGAGCAGCGGACCGACAGGCTCCAGGAGAGGGCGGGCAGCCACCCACCTTCCTGGCAGGAACACAGCACCTTACCACGGTGCTGGGCAGAGTGCAGCATCTGACTGCAGCATCGGGAGGGGGAGTGACCCACCCGCCCACCGGCCACAGTGCCAGAGAGATATGAGCAAGATGAAGAAGAAGAGGAACTACTCCTAATTAAAGGATCAAGAGAAATCCCCTGAAAGCACAAGCAAGGAAATAGACATTGATGGCCCACTAGATCAAGATTTCAAAAAAAGGAGTGATCAAAGTACTGAAGGAACTAAAAGAAATAGTCTTTAGAGTATAAAATATGTCAAAATTAAATAGAAGCTATAAAGAAGAACCAAGCAGAATTAGTAAACACATTGGCTGAGATGAGAGCTGAACTAAAGGCTGTGCAAAGCAGACTAGATAATTCAGAGGAATGAATAAGTGACCTAGAAGACAGGACAACAGAAAGCACCCAATCAGAACAGCTGAAAGAAAAACAAATGAAAAACAATGAAAACAATATAAGAGACCTATGGGATAATATAAAGCATGCCCATCTACACATAACAGGGGTCCCAGAAGGGGAAGAAAGAACAAAGGGGATTGAAAAGGTATTTGAAAAAGTCGTGACGGCAAACTTCCCAAAGTTAAAGAAGGAATCAGATATCCTAGTACAGGAGGCTCAGAGGATCCCAAACAGGAAGAACCCAAACAGACCCACACCAAGACACACCATAATCCAGATGGCCAGAGTCAAGGATAAAGAAATGATCCTGAAGGCAGCAAGAGAAAAACAAATTCTGAGTTACAAGAGAACCCTCATAAGGCTCTCAGCTGATTTCTCGACACAAAC